ACAGCAAAGACATATCCTGGGACGAAGAAGGGCCCTAGGAAGAAAAAAAGCCAACCTTGGTTAACCAGAGAAGTTTGTGCTAGTATTAAATTGAAAGAAAATGCAAAATGTGCAAAGATTAGTGATAAGTCAAAGAATTGGGAAAGTTTTGAATACCAACAAAAGACAATGAAAAAACTGCTAAAGAGGGAGAAGGTAAACTTTAAGCATAAATTTGCATGTAATGTTAAGACAGAAAACAAGAGCTTCTTTAAATTTATAAAGAGGAAGAGAGAAGCCAAAGTGAACGTAGGCCCCTGAGAGAACAAGGTTAAGGAAATAATAATGGGAAACCCCCAGGAAATGATAGAGGAGTTGAATAAGTACTTTGCACAAGTTTTCACAGTAAAATACATTAATAGCATTCTAAAATTACTAAGTAATGAAAGGACAAAAAGGAGAGGAAATAAATACAAAACTACCACTAGGGAAAAAAAAAGCTAGGGAAATTAATGGGGCTAAAGACTGGTAAGTTCCCTAGACCTGCTGAGATGCATCCTAGGATGTAAAAGGAAATAGCTACAGAGATACTGGTTGAACTGACAGTAATCTTCCAGAAATTCTTAGATTCTGGAAAAGTCCCACTACAAAACTGCTAATGTAACACCTTAACTCGAAAAGGGAAGGAGACAAAACTGGGTAACTATAGTCAAGTTAGCTTAATAGCTGTTATTAAATGCTACAGTCTCTTATAAAAGATCTAAAAAGTAGAACATTTAGAAATATATATTACAATCAAGCAAAGCTAGCTTTACTTTTTGATGAGGAAGACATACCTGACAAATTTACAAGAATTCTTTAAGGTGGTAACACACAGGATAGATAAAGGGGAAGCTGTGGGTGTAATACATTAGATTTTCAGAAGGCATTTTAGGCTACCTAATAAGAGCCCATAAGATATATATTACATGGATAGTGGACTGGCTAACTAATAGAACACAGTTGGCAGATAAGGGAATCCTTTTCAGGCTGGCAACCTATAACTAGTGGAGCACTGCAGGAATTAGTGCTGGGGCCACAATTATTTACTATATATATATATAGATGACATTTATCAGGAAAGTGAATGTACTATCACCAAAAGTGTGGACGACATAAAAATACATGGAAACACAAGTGTTTAAGGTGATTCAAAGAGTTTGTAGAGGGATTAAGCAAGTGGGCAAAAACCTGGCAGATGGAATATGGAAAAATGTGAGGTTATGCGCTTTGGCAGAAAGAATAGAGGAGCTGATTATTCAACAGGTAATACAGGAGGCAAATAAAATGTTGGCTTTTATTTTTGAGGAAATGGGAGTTTAAAAGTAGGGGTTTATTGTTAAAAATATACAAGGCTCTAGTCAGACCACAGCTGGAATATTGTGAACAGTTCTGGGCCCTTACTGTAAGCAAAGATATGCTGGCATTGGAGGCAGTCAGAGAAGGTTCACTGGGCTGATACGGGGTTTGGAGAGAGTATCTTACGAGGACAGGTTGAGTAGGTTGGACCTGTTCTCACTGGAGTTTAGAGGAACGAAGGTGATCTCATTGAAACATACAAGATTCTTTGGGGACTTGACAGGCTAGATATGGAAAGTGCATTTAAGGAACGTGATGGAATACTCTCCTGGATGACTGCAACACCAATAGCATTCAAGAAGCTCACACCATCTGGGACCATAACATTGGCAGCCCACTTGGTTGAAATCCATTCACCACCTTAAATATTTATCACCTCCACCAATGGCACACAGTAGCAGCCATGTGTAATATTTAGAAGTTAAACTGCAGTAACCCACCAAGGTTTCTCAGACAACACCTCAATAACCTACTATCTCTACCATTTAGAAGTACAAGGGCAGCAGGTGAATGGGAACACCACTACTTCCCAGTTCCCCTCAAAGTGCAAATCATCTTTAATTGAAATATATTGCCATTCTTTTATCATTACTGGATCAAAGCCCTAATACTCCCTACCTAACAGACTGCAGGTATACATGGAGCATAGAAACTACAGCAGTTCGAGGAGGGAACACACCACTGTAATTTACAAGAGCAATTAGGGATGGGCAATCAATGGTGACCTTGTCAATGATGCTCACATCTCCTGCGTGAGTAAATAAGATCAAGAACCATCACGGAAATTCCAAACACTTTCTGTTGCCCCACCCTCTGTGCGTAAATTACATCCATCATGCTCAAAGATCCTGAATTCATAATGTGTAAAGTTAAGTATATGAATGTTTAATGTGCTTGAGTTCTTTTACCTGATGCAATTAATATCATAATACAATAGGCAGCGCCTACTAAAATGCCAAAGGAATATAATATGAATTCAGAACCAAATCTTCTCACTGCTTTCTCAAACCCCAATTATTTAGCTAAATGAAACTGTGATTATTGAAATGAGAATGAAGATATTGGATGCACTGTCTCTGTTGTACACTGCACACTGTACTCGTCATTTCACACCAAATTAAATGTTGGCCGCTCCGTGGGATGCATTTCATGTTACATCGTTATACTGACAGCATCTGTTTTTTTTAAGAAGGCTGTGCTGACTAATATGAAAATTTGTAGTCAAGTCAATCTGCATGGCTTCAACTGCTACATGGAGCTGCCTCTCTTAATTACAGGGTGAAGGGAAGTCAGAGGAAATAAATGAATAATGGCATCTCAGCAGTTGTGTCCTCTCCATGCTGATTCCCTTGCTTGCCCTTCAAATTCATGCAATGAGTCATATTCAGGGAAACTTGCATAAACAATATAGCACAGTACCAAAGCAAAATACTGCAGATGCTGAGAATGAGAGATTGAAAACAGAAATCCTGGAATGTTTCAGATTTATCATCATCACGCTGGTGCTGTACTTCTGCCAGATCATCTATTCCAGGGAGAAAAGAGGTTTGCACTGTTCCAGGATTTTGAAGCTGGATAGAATAGTAATATTTGTCCTCATATGCAACCACTCGCCCTTATGTAATTTCAACTGGATAGTTAAAAATTCTGCTTGCTACGTTGGGCTGGCAACACATTTAAGCAGATAGATATGTATAATTATTCCATAAACTTCACAGCAACCTGTGTGCTTCTACATTAGGGCAGTTCGAACAGGTTGTTTTTTTGTACAACAATGTCAAGCTCTTAACAGTCACAGTACTTCATTTGAATTAATTAAATCACTGAGGTCAATTTTAACCCTCAGCATGTGGAAAATGTGGGAGAGATCAAAGCCAGTTAAGTTTGTTTACCAGCCCTGGGTCTCAATACTTTGTTATAAGCAGGTTAGTGCTTAATTATAATTTAGAACCCACAGCTTCTCACAGCATTGCTATGCTATTTTGACTGCAACTTAGAGGACAACTGATCGAGTAGCAAAACTACCATAAGAGACCACATTAAGTTTTTTTTTTCTGTTAGGCGAATTCCGAGAAGATCCACAGTGGCACTCCAACTTCTCCAGTTTCAATTAGGGATCCATATGCCTTCTCTGCTGCCAACTTCCTTCCCTATCCTCAGACCAGCGGTAAGGGAAGTGTGGATGTTTCCCACAACGCAGTATTCATAGTATTCACGTTGGAACATGAAGGTAATAAATAGAACATCCATGCCATGTATAACTAATGTAGCCTATTTAATAGTTAAAAGAAAACCAGTAGGTCATATCCTAGTCTTGAAAATCTGTTAACCCAGAAACCATCACTACAGTTAATGAATACCCTCAATATGCTCACTGACTACACACAACTCTACCTCTCTAAAATGTTTTATTATCGTGCTTGCTCACATCAAGCTACAAATGACTCAATAAATTCCAGGTTCTGATTCATTGTAGATAATAGAACTGTCAGCCCCTATTCTGCTGAAATTCTCTTTATAAACTTACTTCCAATGAGCTACATCTTTCCCCACCTTCAACTGCATCCATACAATTTACTTCTTTGATTGTGCCATAATTCACATCTGAATTTTCTGCTTTCCTGCAAGTGTCTTTAGACATTTTGCTATATGACACATGCTATGAAACTGGAAGTTGTTCTTGTTGCAGTACATCAAAATGCACATTTGCACGCAAGTCAAAGTAACTTAGCTTAATCTGTTTGCCTGGTTGATCCTACAGTTAGCTGTTATGGTTCCCAACTGTTACCACTACCATCCCCCACCCCACCCAGTGCCCAATCCAGAAGTTCTTTCTACTTGTCAACACTTCTCTTTACAATTTTGAACTTGCATCCACTTGCCTTCCTATCATGAACTAGTTTGAAGTAATGTTCTGTATTTACTTTTCTACATTATATACTTCCATAAGTAAACCTTTCAAATTTCAAGCTGAAAGATCCAGGATTCTCCAACCTTTCCTAATAATTCAAGTTTATCCTCTGTAATTCCAGCACAGGAGTCACAGAAACCACAGTAATTTTGTTTGTATAATTTTCCTGTGGTCAATGTGGTACCACCGAAATATTACAGCACAGGACATAGGAGCATAAAAAGTCCATTTGGCTTCTTGAGCTTGTTTCACAATTCAATGAGATCATGACTGATCTGCTATTTCAATGCTATTTTCCCACATTATCTTCATATCTTTTTGATACCATTAATTACGAGAAACCTATTGACCTCTATCTTCAACATATACTCAATGACTGAGACTCCGTCGCCCACTGGGGACACTCGTGCAAGCAGAAGAATCTGCTCGGAAATTTACATCCAACATTTTAGGTTGCTAATTCAAAGGAACTTTTGAGTATGTTTTTGTTTTATTAAATGAATTCAAGAATATTTACCAGTATTATGAGAATCAATTCCCATAATTCCATCCGTAAATCAATCATGATGATTCACAGCTATATGAACTAAACCCCAATTTTTGATTGATTTAGAGTATTTCAAATCTTCAGTTTCCACACCTGTAGTTTAGTATCTCCAATTCTGATCCTGATAAGTTTGGTCATATCCTTCATCAGAACATCAAAATTTACCTGATTGCTCCTTCTCCTCCATCGCTGGGAGAGGTGATATGAATGGCATCCCCAGAGAGTCCATAACCAAGTATTTCCGCATAGATTCGTGCTCCCCTCATTACAGCATGTGTATACTCCTCCAGTAGCAGCACTGATGCCCCCTCTCCCATTACAAACCCCTCTCTGTCAGGGTGGAATGGACGAGAAGCCAGTTTGGGGGTAGCATTACAACTGGTGCAGAGAGCATGTGCCCTTGCAAAGCCTGTGATAGATAAGGGGTTAACACAAGCCTCAGTTCCACCAGCTAGCATCACTTCTGCATCCCCATAGAGAATTAATCTTGAAGCATCCCCAATAGCATGTGTTCCTGTGGTACATGCAGTCGATACTGCATGATTTGGACCTTTAAGTTTAAACTTAATACTGATTTGTCCAGCTGCCATGTTGGGAAGAATCCTGGGGACAAAAAATGGACTCACTTTTTTATAACCTTTGGTTGTTAATGTCACAGCAGTATTGCTAATTTCATCGAGTGGGACCATACCCATACCAATAGCAACTCCAGTGTTGAGCTGGTCCCTTTCAGACTGAGGATACCAGTCAGAATCTTTAAGTGCAAGATTTGCTGCTCCTATTGCCATTATTGTAGCAGTTGACATAGACTTTGCTTCAGATTTTGAAACAAACATTTCTTCATTGAACTCCCCCTCCCCGTCACCACGAGGCACACAAGCAGCTATTGTGCAAGGCAAGTCTCTATATTGTGACTCATCTAAAGAAATAACACCACTCTCTCCTTTCAAGATTCGGCTCCATGTGAGCTGAGTACCGACTCCAAGTGGAGACACTAAGCCAATTCCAGTAACGACAACTCGCCTTCGACGTTTTGGATGGTTGGTACTTGTGAAACAACGTGCATTCAATTCTGGTCTTGTATTCTTGAGATTCAACAGCTGATACCAGAAAACCTTTGTTAGCAGCTTCTTCCTTTGCAGCAACATATCTTTTAGCTTTTATCCACAACTTTGGCAAGAAAATGCACTTGGTTTTACTGTGAACAGTAAAGATGCACAGGAAAATCATTAAAAAATCTGCAAGTAGTAAACAAGTAGTTGTAAAAAACTGAATTTCAAGTCTTTGCAATCTAAGTTTTCTGGAAGACAGAATGCATACTTTAGATAATAATATTTAATTACAAACTGTGGTAATTTCTTTATTCATTAACGGGGCAAGGATGTTGCTTGCTAGACAGCATTTATTGTCCATCCCTAATTGCCCAGAGAGCAGCTCAAAGTCAACGACATTGCTGTGGGTCTGGAGTCACATGTAGGCCAGAACAGGTAAGGATGGCAGTTTCCTTCCCTAAAGGACATCAGTGAACCAGATGTGTTTTTCCTGACAATCAGCAATGGATTCATGGTCATCATTAGATTCTTAATTCCAGATATTTTTATTGAATTCAAATTCCACCATCTACCACGGCGGGATTGGAACCCAGATCCCCAGAACGTTATCCAGGTCTCCAGATTAACAGTCCAGCGATAACACAACTAGGCCATTGCCTCCCCTAAAATTTATTCCATTTTAAACTGCGATTGAACATTTAATAAGAGATCAAGTTCAACTAAATATAACATTGAAATAAAGATACTCTGGAAAGTTATATTGCTTCTGATTTTTCTGCATTTATTCTGTTGTGTTTATCTTTCATGCAACTCTTTTTTTCCCCCAAAAATGCAAACATCACCATTCCTGGCAAAAATTAGGGAGCACACAAATTCTGTTCCTCTACTCCCTCAATACTGCCTCAAAACAAGTTTTTAGTGGGGGTGGGGCATGGGGAACAGGCAGCTGATTAACTTACCTTTTAATTTAACTTTGATAATATGTGGAACACACCCTAATCTGTATTCAGTATCTCATCCTAACAGGATCATATTACATAACAGATCATGGCGTTGTGTTGTGAGATAATAAGGTGTAGAGCTGGAAGAACACAGCAGGCAGAATCTGTAGATTCTGAAGAAGGGTCCAGAGCCGAAACATCAGCTTTTCTGCTTCTCTGATGCTGCCTGCCCTGCTGTGTTCATTCAGCTCCACACCTTGTTATCTCAGATTTTCCAGCATTGGCAGTTCCCACTATCTCATGGCGTTGTATTGTGCCTTGTTTTCTATGACAGAATGCATAAAAGGCTCTCTTACTCGGTTTGGATTTAGTCTAAAATACTTTTGTATTGTTATAATCTGCATTGTAACATTATTGAAGCAAATTAACATTTTGAAATACATTTTTAGAAACATATAGTACTGTCTGCCTGAGGCTAGTTTTCCTTATCACTCTGAATCAGATTTTATCAATGTACATGAAGGGATTTTAAGTGAATTAAAATCTCAAGTATTCATTCTGAAATTACACCACCTTAAGCATATTTTTCAGGATAAATGTGTCAGCTAAGTTCCAATAATATGAATACTATTCATTTTCAACTTTAATAAATCATCTCTTCGACAAATATATTGCATAATTTCGATTTTAGGAGGAAGGGATCAGTATGTTCCACCTGCTTGGCTATATCAATTAGGGGTTGTAATATACTCATACCATTTAATATCTTGTTGTTGACAGATACTGGACAATGTTTAATATTTATGACCCCACATTTAATTTTCCTTCCATTTAAGCAAGTCAGTCACAATTGGGAACAGAACAGAGTCATGACTGAATATGTGCCCCAATCTTGTTGGCCAAATGTTCCTATTTCATGAAGATGGTGGTAGAGCGGTAATGTCACTGGACTAGTAATCCAGACACACACACCAATTGTCTGGAGACTCATGTATAAATTTCACCATAACAACTGGGGGAATTTGAACGAAACTAATAAACATCTAGAATTGAAAGATGATGATGAAACTATCTGAGATAGTAGGAACTGCAGATGCTGGAGAATCCGAGACAACAAGGTGCAAGGCTGGATGAACACAGCAGGCCAAGCAGC